CCTTGAGTTACAGGCAAAGCCTATTTTTTTTAAATTAATACATTTCTTTCCACTTTTTTTCTCTTTAAAAAAAAACTATTTTTTTTATGGTATTCGTACTCATGGAGAAAACTATAATATTATTCTCTCCGTATTTTTTTTCGTCGGAGCCGAAGAGTTTTTTGTCTGGACCGGAGAAGTTTTTTCGTCTGGGCCGAAGAAGTTTTTCTTCTGTGTTGAAGACTCTGAGCCAGTTTTTTTGTTGGAGCAGTTTTTTCCGCTGTATCCATTTTACTTTTCTGGAGGAGTTGACAGTCGACTGTTGACAGTTGACAGCCGACGGTGTCTGCCCAAGATTGATTTGATTTAGAAGATTTTCAACCATTTGGTATCGTACAATTCAATTTTATTTTTTCCTTATTTTTTTTTTGTATTTGAATTTTATTGGTGCGTACGAATACCGAACGTAGATAATTTTTTTTTTAACATTATAATTTAATTAGAATAAATTTTCACATAATTTAATTCTGCTGATAAAATAATATTTCATTTTTTTTTCCTTTTTAATTTTTTTGTAAATTTAATACATTGACACAGTTTCTTTTGTCTCATTTAAAATCTTTAAATCTATTCATTTTTTTTTTATTTTTTTTTTTTTTTTGAACTGATGAATTCATAATTATTAGTTGATTATTTTGATTTATTTATTTTTAATAATTATATTATTAATTATTATTATTAGTGAATTGTTTTCAGTATTATTTATTTGATTTATTAATTTGTTGATTAATTTGATATATTAGCTGAATTTTAGTTGTCGCTGGATAATAAAATAGCATATATATTTTTATTTTGTAAATCTTACGTGATCACGAAAGGTACCTAGGTATTTACGTAATTTTGCTACTTGCGTATTGTGATATATATTTTTCTTGGTGCACAATTTTTTTTATTGATTTATTTAATTTACTATCCCATCCTTCAATAGAGGGTTCTGAAACTAATCAGTTTGCATTTATTTTTTTTTTATATTTCCTTTGGCCCTATGTCTATATAATTCTCTAAGATCTCTTGGACTTTTTGTTTATTTATTTACTTTTTTTTATTTATGTATTTGTGGAACTTGTGAGGCCCTAAATACACCTTTGGGGATTTCTGACTTTTTTTCCGTCTAAAGTCAGTGGTGCTCTTAACCCGCCCCTACCTCCGAATTTTCTGAGCTAGTGCATAAATTTGTTCGCGACTAGACCCCTGCAAATTCCATAAATATTTATTTTCCTTTAAAAAAAAAAAAAAAATCTTAATAATATTTTTTTTTTCTTCTGTATTTTTTTTCAATAAAAAAAAAATTTTTCTTTTTTAATTTAAAAGAGCCGAGCTAAGGCCAAAACGCGTGAAAAATTTTATGGCGCCCAACGTTGGGCAATTGATTTAAATAGGGCAATTGCATTAAAAAGGCAATTCTATTAATATCTATTATTATTATATATCTATATAGACTTAGGGCCAAATAATTTTATATTCATCTTGCTGGTTAATATTTATTCATTTTTTTAATATTATCTTGACTTGATTATTATTGGAATACTATTTTCATTAATTTATCTTTGATTTACCTTTGATTTACCTTTTGATATTTTGTATTTTTTATACCTTTTGATTGATATAATTTTGGTATATAGTTGATCACTTTCTATTTTATCTTTTTCTATTTTCTATTTACCTTGTTTTTTACCATGGATTGCATTAGCAATACGTAACTGGAACGGGGCACTGAAGCTACGCATTGCAGCAATACGTAACCGAACGAAGTAATACCAA